TTCTGTTTAGTCACCCTGGTTATCTTTACTCCCTATTATGGAGAGCCCAGTAATACCTTACCAACTGAGTTTTTCTTACCTCACAGGTGGAGATGCCTATTTCTCTCCTCTCTGGTAATAGTGCCAGTTTCACATCCTGCTATATTCTGAGCTAGGGCAGTGCATAGTAAGGACATTCATCACCCTGACCGTGGATGCCAAAGTCCTTTGCTCTGGCAAAGGCCACCTCTGCACTGTCTCGTGTAGGCTGCCCACCAGCACTTCCTGTGATGAGGAAACTGTGCCCTGTCCACGATGTCCAAGATGGTATTGCCCAGTGTGGCCATCAAGCACTTGGGAGGTGGCTAACGCGATTGAGGAACTGAGTTTTCTCTTTTTCAGTGTCATTAATTTCACTCTACACATAAGCCCACAGTGTGGCTAGTGGCTGTTGTGTTGAATGGCAGAGCTCTAACAAGGCGTTTTCCTTGATGTTTCAAATACACCGAGTGTCTTGCTGCCTCCAGCCCTTCTGCTGGCTGTTCGAGGCTGTTCTTCTTGGCTTGGTTCTCACTCCCTCTGGCCTCTGCTCAAATGCTTCCTCCTTAGGGAGTCACTGTTTCTAAAATAATGTCCTCTCCCCTCTCCTCTCCTCCTCATCTGTTGCTCTATTATTGCTTATCGGAGTTATTGCTACCTGATGTTTTATTTAAGGTCTGCCACCTTTGCTCTAGAGACTTGGTTCAATTTTCCAATGTAATCCTGCTCACAAAAGGCAGGTGGCACATATGTGTAAGGGCATTGGATTTAAAAGCAGACAGACACATTTTAGAATCCTGGTACTGATACTCATAAGCTCTGTGGTCCCAAATTGTCTGAACTCTCCAAACTCCAGTTTTCTCATCATAAAATGGGGTAAAAAATACCTACCTCCAGAATTACTATGAAAATAAAATAAAATAAAATAAAATATACTTACAGCATTTAAGCCAGATTTTTTTAGCCCATAATACACTTCCTATGAATGCTACCACCTACTAATACCATCATTATTTTTGTTTTCTTTTATTATTGAAACCAATTAGAAATTTCAGGGCTATTAACCCTAATTATATTGAAAAGTCAACAGTAGAAGCTATGGCAGCCAACTAATGTTTCGCTCTCACATCAATGTTTCTCACTCCCTCTCCCTTCTTCTGCCTCTCCTTAAAAAAAAAAAAAATAAAATAAAAAAATAAAAAATCAATAATAATAACAACCCCAAGACCTTAGGTAAGTCCTTTTGGTGACTTATAAGACAGTCTGACCTTAGAGCTTCTCATTTTGTCAATCTCCATTTTTCCTTATCTCTTCAATGAAGCTAGAAATATCACTTAACCCTGTTCACGGAACCAGTGCCAGGCTGCCCCACTCACCGTAGGGCATGGACCAGAAACAAGATGGCCCACTTCGTAGATCACGTCTGCTGTTGTTACTTCTCTGAGAAACACCTTCCCCTCCTGTGATGGGCTGGCATTGTTCCTGGGCCACCTGCTTCCTCAGACCCCCAGCACCCCGTGGTCTTCATTTCCAATGTCAAGGGTTTCCTGAGACGCTCCATGTTTTCAGGTTGCTGGTGATCCAGATAGCACTTCCCGGCTGCACCAGGCAGGCGGTAAACGTCAGGCCCTGGGCAGCTCTCAGCACGGCCTGGCACAGGGGCCACGGTCAGCAAGGGCAGCTGTGATCCCCGCTGTTCCTGTCTCCTGTGTGGCTTCCCGTGTGCATGTGTTGCCGCTGCCGTGTCCTAATGAAGCAGGGAGGTGGCGGGGGCCCGCCGGGCGGGCAGACCCTGTCCTGCGGAAAGACTACAGTAACTTCCAAGGAGAGTTTTGGAAAAATCTCTTTAAACCTAACCAGCGCACAATGGAAAACCCCTAAAGAACCAATCTGATGACTTAATTAAATGGAACCGTTGTGCTGACTTTTACTACAGAAGGCAGGCATAATTAGAAAATGGGGCCTTTTAATTCTCTTTTGTTTTCCAATTAATGCAATTGCTCTAATAGGGGGTCCTCGTGCTCGAGTATGTGATCTTCGGGTATGTATGTATTCCATACATAACTCTGGCCTCCTCTCTCGCCAGAAGGCCCCCCCTCACCTGTTGACATAGGGGTCCATTGACTGCAGGGCCCGGCCGCCCACACTTTGACCTCAGAGGCGGCGTCTTCCTGCCATCAAAGCTGCCATGGGCCGTGCGGCCCACCACGCCACTCGGCTCCTGCTGCTGTCATTAGGGTGTCGGAGTAATGGGGCTCACTTTTTTGCTGATGCCAGCTCCCCCCAGCAGACCACACGAGTTTGCTCTTAGTTGAAAGCGATAAAGCAAACGCCAGGAACATTCATTTTAATTGGCCAACATCACAGGGACCTCCTGAGCCACTGTTCCATGGTCTCTGTTTCAGATTCCTTTTCACTCCCGGCAGCCAACTTGGAATGAGATATATTTTTTTTTTTTTTGCACTGGATTGTCCTTTTGATGATTGCCTTGATTGTCACTTGATTATCAGTTATATATTTATTTGAAAAGTTATATATTATATATATATATATATATATATATATATATATATATATTTGAAAAGTTCCATCCTCTTTTATCGTTATTGTAGGTAACAATTTCATCTGCCCTAATATTTATTAAATTCTATGTAGGAGAACATTGCTGAGTAGTTATTTTCTCATCAGATGGTCCCTAAGACGAGGATGAATGCCAGAGGCTTATTTTTTTTCTTAAACACTTGCTTTGATGGTGATGTTTTATAACTAAAAAAGGGAAACGGGTCAGGTGGGTAGTGTGTGGTGGTGACAGTGAGGGTGGGAAGACCAGTGATTCTTTCATGTAACTAGACATGTTTTCTTCAGCACCGATTAGACGGACTTCTCACAAACCTCTGGAAAGTATTTAACTTGTTGCTTTAACCTGGAAAAGATGGTATAAAATAGGAGAGAATGGTGAGAGGAGGAATGCGTGTGTAGTTTTTAGAAAGTACACTCACTGTTCTTACAGGGCCTGGCAAGATCCGGGCGGTTAGGCAGGATCCGGGTAGAAGAGATGCGGCTTTTGCCTGTGCGCCTCTTCCTTCCACAGCATCGCTGCAGCCCTCACGAGGTGTGAGCAGAGCTGAGCTTCCTTCTCGGGATCCCTCCCCCCCCTCCACCCAGCCCTCCCCCACAGGGCCCTTCTCGCATGGGCCGATGGTGAGAGCCCAGGGAGTAGTTCTGACAGTCCCCTCTGGATTGCTTCCTTTCTTTGGTCAGATTTAAAAGGGGGAATTATTTTATGTAGAGGGATATCGTTAAGAAGCCATTTTGAAGATCAAGAATAAACTTGCCACCCTGGCAGGTGTGCTCAGTGGTTAGAGCCCTGTCCCGTGCACCAGAAGGGTCCTGGCTTCACTTTCCAGTCAGGGCACAGACCCAGGTTGTGGGTGTAGTCCCTATGTTGGGGTGTGTAGGGGAGGCAACTGATGATGTTTCCCTTTCACATGGTGTTTCTCTTCCTCTCCCTCCCTCTCTCTCTAGAATCATTAAAAAAACATATCCTTGGGTGAGGATTAAAAAAAAAAAAAGGAAAAAAAAGCTTGCCTAACTAGTTTATTTTTTTAATAAGTGTGGGATAGGTAGAGATAAAACAGAAATTTAAATTAATTACAACTGAAAAAACCCTTGATATTAAGGATAGAAATACAGAAAGTAGACAATGTGTGCCAAACAGGTTTAATAGTTCGTAGTGATGTTGAGAAAGTCCACCTATTTAAGTATGAAACAGTCATTAAAAATTCATAATTCACAAAAAAAGTTTTACCTTTCAATTAATGTGGAAGTTTTTATTTGAAAATATATATTTAAGGATCAAAAATTAGAGCCAAGAGAAACCATAGAAAGGTTCCCAGTGTTAGGAAGCATTGGTTTTCTGGCTGCAATATTCACAATTCCTCTAAGCGTGACTGTGAGGCCGATGGTCACAATGGCTGTCATTTCCTAGCAGTCTGCCCGAAGCCAGAAGTGGATCCACCGTGGCCCATGGGCCAGGCTCAGTTTGCCACCTGTTTTTGTGAATATAATGGTATTGAAACGTCGCCATGGTTGTTGGTGTGTCTGTTACTGACAGCTGGTTTCCTGCCGTAAAGGTAGAGTTGAGTCATTCAACAGAGACTGCACTATCTGCTCTCTGGCCCTCCAGTGGAAATGTTGGTCAGCCTCTGACTTCAGGTGGGCTCTGCTCCTACGTGCATTATGCCATTTACTCCTTGTTGCCACATCCTGAGGAAGGTGGTCCCATCCTTCTGTGATAGGTGAGATTGGGCTTAAAGATGCTCAGGGTCTGGCACAAGGATGCCCAACTAAGTGGAAGCACCTGGACTTGAACCTGTGGGTTGTCATTGCGGAGCCCGCATGTTCCTTCTGAGTCTGGTTCCTTTGGCCTTGGCTTTCGGGGAAGTGGCAGGCACATCATGCTGGCTAACAGCCAGGAGGACCCTGGAGCCAGATTGCTTGAATTCAAATGATCTTGGCCACCATGACCAACGTCTTGGTGCCTCACTGTAAACATTCGCCAACATCTCTATTACCAACCTTTAAAAAATATTTGTATTGATTTCAGAGAGGAGGGGGGAGGGAGCTAGAAACAGCCACGATGAGAGAGAACCTTGGATCGGCTGCTTCCTGCATGCCCCCCACTGGAGATGGAGCCCGCAAGCTGGGCATGGGTGCCGACCGGGAATCGAACCATGACTTCCTGGTTCATAGGTTGAAGCTCAACCACTGAGCCACCAGGGCCGGGCTCTTACTAACCTCTTGTAGATGGGAGTCTACATCTACAGCAGTGCTCTTGGGCTTTCTGGAGACCTGCATGTCCAGGTGAGCACAGCCTCACTCCCCTGCTGCACAGACAGCCCGTCTTGCGGAGGACGGACGGCATCTCGACAAAGGTCGCACTGTGAGTCCCACGTTAACCTTCTTCCCGTTTGCCTCACCAGGTCCTCCACAGGCAGCAGTCCCAGCCCACCAAGGAGAGCTCCCCTCCCCGCGAGGAGGCCCCGCCCGCGCCCCCGCCCAGTGAAGACAGTTGTGCCAAAAAGCCCAGGTCCCGCACCAAGATCTCCCTGGAGGCCCTGGGGATCCTGCAGAGCTTCATCCACGACGTGGGCCTGTACCCCGACCAGGAGGCCATCCACACACTGTCCGCGCAGCTAGACCTGCCCAAGCACACCATCATCAAGTTCTTCCAGAACCAGCGGTACCACGTGAAGCACCACGGCAAGCTCAAGGAGCACCTGGGCGCCGCGGTGGACGTGGCCGAGTACAAGGACGAGGAGCTGCTGACCGAGTCGGAGGAGAACGACAGTGAGGAGGGCTCGGAGGAGATGTTCAAGGTGGAGGCCGAGGAGGAGGGCGCGGACAAGGCCAAGGCCGCGCCCGTGGACGGCGACCAGAGATAATGTGAAGCCCCACCTGGCACAGCAATACATGGGTCCAACGATTTTCTGTCTTCGTTGCTTTAAAAAAAAAAAAAAATTTTTTTTTTTTGGCTTTATTTTATTTTTGTCTCTTTTTGTTTGTTTGTTTGGTTTTTCTTACCCATTTTGTTTTGACATTTCTTTGTTGCACAGGACACACCTGTAGAGTGAATACGTTCAGTATTTCCAAATCAGAAGTCGCCTTGGCAAAGACACTCAAGTGTTAACCCTCCGGCCACCAGCTGGCTCGCAGTCATGCCGATCCCAGGAGACTCTGCCTTCGCTGTTCTTGCACTTAATCAAAGAGCCAGGGGGCAAGTTCCGGGAGGAAAAGACGGACAAAACACATGAAGGAAGCGACACGTATATGTGTGTGTGTATATGTATATGTATATATCTATATATTTACATATATATATATATGAGAATTGCATGGGACAGAGAACTTGACCACCGGGAAAAAGAGACTGTGAAATGCGTTCTTAAAGAAGAGACTTGTTTATGTATGAAACACAAAAACCACTTCACAGTGAGTCTCTTTGGCTTTTGGATAAACTTTGACCTGCTCTCAGGGTGGGGTGACTATTTTTGAATTCCTATTTATTTTCTGTGTTTATCCCTGATTTTTTTTTTTTTTTAATTCTATGGCTTCCTATCTGGCAGCTTGATGGGTAATTTTTGAGGTATGTATTTAACAAAACAAATCAACACTGCCAAAAATAAATAAATAAATAAATAAAATAAAAAGAGAGAGAGAGAAAGAAGAAGAAAGTAAAGGGAAAAAAAATCAGGGCACCTTAAATGATACAAGTCCAATTACTCTTAAAGACACAATGCACACTTAACCTGACTCGATATGTTCCGTTATCCAACCTGTCGTTGCTTTAGTGAACAGACGTGTTTCTGTGGAATTCCAAACGAGTAAACCGGAAATTCGGTGCAGAGAAAACTTGGACGTTATAGCGTGGTCTCGATAAAACGCCATTTTGGCGTCAGTATGAGCCACATTTTTGTGAAACTTATTTACCTGCTCGTGGCTTACAATGAATAAGCCTGCTCATTTAAAAGTTGTTTGTTGCTGTTTTCTTTTGTCTTTGTCTTTGTTTTTAAAGAGAAGATAGTTCAATGTAATGTTAAGTTAGAAAAGAGGTTGCTGCCCAGTAGAAGGGGCTCCCTCTCCAACACAGCTCCCTCCGTCCCCCCAAAAGGCATCTCTCACTCCTGTTTCACTCTGGGCTTCCTCTCCTTCCTGCACGTTCTGTTCCCCACACCGGACACTCATTCCTGCTCCAGCAGCCTCCGCAAGGCAGCCCTCCCAAGAGCCCGGGCTTGCGTAGGTGATGCATTGCAGTGAAATCACCAGCTTGTCACCAACGGAAAGGTTTTCCCAGTTACCCACTCCGCAGATACTTGTGCTAAAGCAGAACGGGTGCCATGGGCTGCTGAGCGGAGTGGGCACTAAAGCTGCATGCCTCCTGCCACAGCTCCCCGACCTTTAGTTTCCTCTCAGACACACGCGTAGCATCACCACCCACTTCCATTCGAGTCATTGCCAGAGGAGACCTCGCCTCCAGGGCCGGGCCGGTGAGCCTGACCCCGGGCCTCATCGCGGAGGCCGGCGGGACAGCCCCACACCGTTGGAATTTTTTATTTTTTATTTTTTTGAGTTGTGCTCTCATGCAACCTTGTCAAAGACCTCATGCAATATCACTTTGAAAGTTATTTTCTGTTTACTACACAACCATTGTAATATAACTGTTAATACTATTTATATATTTGAAAGGTATAAAAGGTAGGAGTTTAAAAAAAAAAAAAAAAGACAAACCTCTATGTGTAGATATTAACTCAGAACTTACACTATACAGGGAGAAGACGTTGCAATACAAGCTAATTCTAGCTGCTCAGTAACCTCTGGAGTTTTTAAAGGGACATTTTCCTGTGCTTTTCCCAATACCGATGTTGAAAAGGTTATCTCCACACGAGCATCGCCTACCTTTGCGAAAGGATGGTTGTTTGCGGTGAAGGCCTGGGCCCAGCCTCCCCTCCCCCACTTCTGTAGCACTCTGCGGCTTTAACCAGAAAGGCCGCGGCTGCCCCCTGATCTCCGAGTTACTCTCTCCAAATTGTCTTCTTACACTGTCGCTGAAGGTCACTCTGTCCACGTCACGGAAACTGATTTGCCAAGCTCTTACAAGGTGGCTCATCGACTGATGGCATCCGCATTTGATATCTTTTACACTTCAACCAAAAATTTATTAGGTATTTTTCAATGCTAAGTCTTGCCTTTTTATTTTTTAATTTCACTGCCGAGTTTGCAGTGGTTCTAAGTGAATCTGTGGGCATTTTAGCCTGTGGTCTTGCCAGATCTTTGCGAATTACAATGCATATATGTCTATTTATTCAATATCTGTCATATAATATCTATTTGGAAGAAGAAAACTTTCTCTTGTAGTGCCTCTTGACAAAGCACAATTTCCCGCCTTTTTGTGTGTGTGTGAAATGAAAAAAACAAATTGTGTTTTATTGCGGTATCAACAATGTGAATAAGGATTAACATATTGTAAATGTTCCTTTTTTCCATGTAAATCAACTATCTTTGTTATCACTAAGTGATAATTAATTTTTAACTTATGTGCATTGTTAGGCTGTTAGAATTTTTGGGTTGTTAAAATAAAACGCATTCAATAAATATGACGTTGTTGGTCACGTATTTTACTGGGCATTGCCTTTGCCGATTCACCTTCATGTAGAGTGAGAGCTGGTGAGGAAAACCCGTTTCTTTATTTTAGAAAAAAGAAATGGGCCCAGCCAGCGTGGCTCAGTGGTTCAGCATCGACCTATGAACCAGGAGGTCACGGTTGGATTCCCGGTCAGACACATGCCCTGGCTATGATCTTGTTCTGAATAGAGGACGTGCAGGAGCCGTTCAGTGATTCTCTCTCATCATTGATGTTTCTCTCCCTCTCCCTTTCTCTCTGAAATTAAAAAAAGATAGCACTACTCTAAGTTCAAGATGTCCAAGTCCAGTACGATGCATGGGTGTGAATGCACATGTTGAGTGTATGTTCCTCTCTGTGTGTTTCTAAATACTCTCACCCTGGAGCAGGCAGCCAGGAGGGCCATGTATCCAAATGCCCTGCCGTATATGAGCAAAACGCAAATGCACAAAGATGCATTTATGGGCTTGCTTCTTTATTTTTCTAGTGAATATTTTCTGTTTATAATTAAAAACCACAAATGGCTGCGTGTCAGGAACCTTGTGGAGCACATATGTCCATGGTTAATGGACATAATAAAAGTCTTTTCTATTTAGAGCTGGGGTCCCAGAATGTGTGCATAGAGGAATGCTGAAAGGAATCAAGTATCGGAGAAATGTGTGAAAACGATTTTTTAGAAAGTGCTTACAATGGAAAAAATTACTCAAAAGGCAAATGTTAACAGGGAGGAAGCAAGTGCCTAGCTTCAGAGCTGGCGAAGAGAAAGCCCATTAGACTGTGGTTTTGTTTTCTTTGGATATTGTACATCGTCTTTCCTGTGTTTTTTCCTTTTTCAATTTTTGTATTTGGTAGATATACAGATGTGTTTGCCCCACCCCCCCTTCCTCAGTTTCCCTGGCCTTGGGCCACAGCTGTGAGGGTAAATGTTAAGGACCGTCTGCAGACACAGTGCTGGCAGGGAGGTAGGCAGCACAGGGCCCTGAAGGCTTTCAAAGACAAGCCGGAGGCTCTGCAGGGTGAAGCACACCCTGGGTTTGTGCATGTGGGAAGGAAGGCTGTGTCTGGGAGGAAGACGCGGAGGGTAAGCGTGTGTAGGGCAATCTGACCCTCAGCACAAACAGCTTCTGCCTGCATGAGGTTGTGTTTCCAGGGTCACACATCTCTGCGGAGACAAACTGGGAGGGCCAGGCTCTGCTCACAGGTGGGCTGGCTTCTGCCTGGAAGGGGGTCTCTGTGCTACCAATGAGTGTTTCTTTTTTAAAAATATGTTTTTAGCCCTAGCTGGTTTGGCTCAGTGGATAGAACATTGGCCTGTGGACTCATGGGTTCCAGGTTCGATTCTGGTCAAGGGCAAGTATCTTGGTTGCGGGCACATCCCCAGTAGGGGGTGTACAGGAGGCAGCTGATCGATGTTTCTCTCTCATCGATGTTTCTAACTCTCTATCCCTCTCTCTCTCTGTAAAAAATTAATAAAATATTTGCAAAAAGAAGAAGGCTAATTTCAAAGTATATATATTTCAGAGAGAAAGGGAGGGAGGGAGAAAGAGAAACATCAATGATGAGAGAATCATTGATCCGCTGCCTCTTGCATGCCCCACATGAGGTCAAGCCCACAACCTGGGCATGCGCCCTGGACCCTTCAGTCTGCAGGCTGACGCTCTATCCACAGAGCCAGATAGGCCAGGGCCTATTTCCAAGAAAGCAACGTGATTACTTGGCCATGCCTTGTCATATGATAGCATCTCAGAGCCATTACTCTGGGGATTGAAATTTTGTCTTTTTTCTTTTCTTAGAGGGGATATTTCTCTTTACTCTGTTATTGCTCTTTCTGAAAAGTTTGAAACAAAGATTTAAAAGTCCCACGTTTCTTCTGAAGGGCAATGGTGGCATAATCCGACAGTGAGCATCTAGTAAGCCTGCACACGCTGCCAGGGAATGGGCCTGGAACTGAGTGACGGCGAAAATATATGGCCTGATGCTCTTCCTGCAGAAGCTTGGAACTTGTTGGGAAGGTTTATATAAATCCAGGAGAAGTGAAATAGCCCCTCAGCCATTGTCTCCGGGCAGAGATTTATTGTCCAGTGAGTGGTGCAAACAAGCGCTATGAATCTAGACAAGGAAATGATTCTTATTTGTGAGCCAGGACGGTCTGAAAGGTGGATCACTTAGGAGCGGCTGCGTGTGATAGAAAGAATGCTCATTGGGAATGACCCAGAGGAGGTCATCGTTCACTTGTTTGTTACGTAAAAGAAATCGCCGAGGCAAGCTGGCTTCATGGCGTTGTCAAGGAGCTTCCCGCTTCTGCCTCCACTTCCCCTGAGTTCCTCTGCCTCCTTCCCAGGGGATTGCTAGTGCTCTGGTACTCACACCCCCGCCCCCTTCCAGACCCCAGGCAGGAGAGGAGTAAAGAACCCACACTTCCTTTCTCTCAGGGAGACATCTTCAAGGCCTCCACCTGAATTTGGGGAGTCTGGTAATGTTTCCCTTTTCCACTCATTCCCGAGAAAAGTGGGTATGGGGTAGGCAACTCACAACAGCTGCCAGGGAAGGTTAGCAAGAAGGACGTGGAAATGATAGAGGCGAAGAGGAAAAGTGAAAGGGCATCTTCACCCTGCGGCTGCTCTCAGAGCTTGCACCTCTTCCTCCTCCCACCCCGGGTCCTTTTCCTGGCTGAGTGTAAGGGTTAGTCCAAGGGCCACTTCTTCCAGGAAGCCCTCCCTGGTCTGCTCGGCCGTGTGGTTGCAAATCTTCCTAGGCTCACATAGTTATAGTCTACGGTCACAGGACTCACTGGCACAGCATGGTTGCTGTGGATGCTCAGTGGCAAGGTGTGAAGTCTTTCTTTGCCTTTGCCCGCCCACGGGACAGGGCAGGCAGGTGGAGGGGAGGTGGACTCTGTGGGGACAGGTGTGGTTCCTCTGGATGAAGATGTCCAACACCAGCCTATCAACTCAGAGGCAGGAGTGAAGCATGAAAGGTGCTCTGAGGGGAAGGAGATTGGGAACCCTGCTCACTAAATGTTGTCAGGAAATAGGAGAGCCAGGATCCAAGGCAGGCCTACATGACTCTTTTCATGTCCCAGAATGTTCTAGAAAGGCTGTAGGAACCAAACTGAACGTAAATTTACTGGCCAACATATTTCATAGGAGGTGGACCTTGAGACTTCTCTTAACACACTTTTTTATAATCTTGTCTGAGTCTGACATTTCTCATGGAGTTGAGTTCTGACAGAAAGACGCATTTTAAAAAACACATGTTCTGCTAGCAAAACTATCCCAGAAGAATCCAGAAGTAGCTTCTTTGGTGACATTTTAAAAGGTTTAAAGTGTTACCTTCACATATGGAGAAATAATTACACAAATATTCCATTAGCACTGCAATAAATAGTGCAGAGCAATGATTAATTAAAGAGAGTGCTATAATTTATTCACTACCCATTAACAAGCACAATCCCATTTTAACACAAAACAGCACAGACTGGGGGAGTCCCTGGAGACAACTGTGGGCTGTGCAGCCCCGGAGCGTGCCTCCACCTTCAGGGGAAAGAGGGGAGGGGATCCAGCAGAGCCCGAATCTGCCTCAAGTCAACTGGGAGGAGGCAGTGAGCTATCCTAGCGTTTATTTCTCATCATGTTTGCAATTTATGTTATTTAAAAATATATATATTTTTATTGATTTCAGAATGGAAAGTAGAGAGAGAGAGAGAGAAACACCAATGATGAGAGAGAATCACTGATTGGCTGCCTCCTGCATGACCCACACTAGGGATTGAACTTGCCACCAGGGCATGTGCCCTGACCAGGAATCAAACCATGACCTCCTGATTCATAGGTCTATCCTTCAACCACTAAGCCATGCCACCCAGGCACAATTTACATTATTTTTCAGGTCCCCAACTTTCCCATCTACAAAAGGGCTAATCATTCATATAATCTCAGAATTATTGTTATGATTAAACTAGAGGCCCAGTACATAAAAATTCATGCACTGGAGGGGGTTCCCTCAGCCCAGCCTGTCCCCTCTCACAATCCGGGAGCCTTCAGGAGTGGGAGGCGAACTGGCAATCCGGGGAAGGTGATGCCTCATCACACCTCTGTGGCTGCCACTGCTGGCAGCACAAGCCTGGCTGGCCCTGGTTACCTGAGCCTCAGTTGGCCCTGGGCGGCTGGGCAGCCACCATCCCAGGCTTGTCTGTGCCATGGGCTGGCCCTAGGCAGCTGGGGAGCTGAAGAAACTGGGGGACTCCAGAGGCAGGCGCACGGAGTGGCCAGGCCTGCCAAGATGGGCACCACCGTCTTGTGGCTGTGGGCACTCCCATCTTTGAGGATGTGACAGTCAATTAGCATATTCCATCCTTATTGGCTGTGGGTGCCACCATCTTTGCAACAGTGTGAGGGCCAATTAGCATATTTCCTCTTTATTAGATAGGATGACTAGGTAGATGCATCTAGAACAAACCTTTCTGTCTTCTTTCCTTCCAAGAGAAA